GGGGGGGGGGGGGGGGGGGGGGGGGGGGGGGGGAACGAGATGGGCTTTAAGGTCCCTTCCAACCCAAACCAGTCTGGGATTCTGTGGACACAAATCCAACCCGTCTGAGGTGCTGAGCTGCGTCGTGGTGGTGGAGCATGGCAGGAAGGTCCAGGCTGTTCCTCAGCTGGGTGCCAGTTTCCCTTAAGCTGTAGTCCTCTTTTTTATCTTCAGTCCTCACTCAAGTCTAACCATAGTATGTTGTATGTTTTTTATTCTACAAAAATAACTGTGCTTCCTCCTCTGAAGTGTGAGGAGTGTGCTGACAGCAGCGTGTCAGCTGGTTTGTAGCTGGGCTTTGTTAAACCGCGGCGCTAATACCTTGTGGTTCCTCTGTTTGACTCCAGTGAAAGGCATCAAACAGCAGGTGCTGGGGCTCTGCCCTGGATTTGTTTGTAAATGTAGACACTTAATGGCGAAAAAAGGTATGCCAGCACTTCCCAGCCTGGAGGGGAGCGGCTAAACCTGTGCCCTCAGCACTTTGAAACCGTAATTAAGAGTTTCAGGCGTGTTTGGCTGAGGAAGCCTGTTAGCTTGGCAGGGAGGGGGATTGTTTTCCCTGCCACGTCAAAGATTAAGCTCTAATTACCTGGTTGAACACTTGGTGTCATGTGAACGCAGTGGCTGAAGATACATTTTCACTTTGGGGGGTCTCTGTAATTGCTCAGGCAGCGATGTTCCTGATCTTTGCTGCAGGGACACATTTGAGTCCTGGAGATCCCGATGTCTCTTGTGCAGCTGGGGAAGGAAAGGAGCAACAAAGCTGCTCGTTTCACACATTCCTTGGCTGTGTGGCTGCTGCAGTGTCCCTGTGCCCTCCCAGCGACACCTGACGTGACTGAGGGATATCTGTCACATGCTGTTTGTCCTTCCATCCTCTTCCCAGGGGTGGGTGCTCTGCAGTGGCCTTGCTTCAAGGCTTTATCTGTTTGTTAAAGCCAGGAGGGCCCCAGACATGGATATTCACTGGGAGAAAGCTGCTGAGGAGCAGGGAGGAACATATTGAACAGTAATGCTCTTTGAAGGGGGTTAATTTTGTGGCTACTTTTACTCATGACAGAATTTAATTTGGCTTAAGTTTGGTCTGCAGTGCATGGGGGTATCCAACCTGCTGGAGAAGGAGGGGTGTATAGTTAAAGAGCTCTTGTGATAAGGTTTGGGGGGTGAGAGTCCCGTTGGAGTGGGCTCTGCTTAACTGTAATGATTGAAATCCCCTCCTCTGCCTGATGTCAGAGATCCTTGGACAAGCCTCGAACTGAACCTGTTGGAGCCATCCCTGGCACATCCCCTCTGATTTCACAACTTTTCCATTGGTGGGATGGAAAGGCATGAAGGTAAATCCCTGCTAGGCTGGCAGGCTGCCTGCCAGCTGATCCTGTCCAGGAGGAGCACTGCTCCAGGGATTTAGCTGGCTGTGGCACCAGTGTGTCTCAGGGGAGATGGTTCACTGAGCTGGAGAGTTCAGCAGTAAGATGGTCCCACCAAGGCATGTGAACACCACCTCACTCTGTTCCCTTCAAGAGCTAGAGCACTTCCCGGGAAGTGTGCCTGAGAATGAGTCATTAAGGTGGGAAAAAACCTTTAAGATCACTAAGTGCAACCATCAGCACACAACTGCCACCCTGTTGGCCACTAATCATGTCATCAAGGGCCACATCCACCTGTGTTTTGAACACTTTCAGGGATGGCAACTCCACTGCCCTGGGCAGCACATTCCAGTGCTTTACAACCCTTTGCTTAAGAAGCAATCCTGAGCTTTTGGCCCCATCAGCCCCTAAACAACATGTGTGGAGATGGACCAGAGTTTATCAGATGGAAAGGATGCTTTAGTCCAGGCATCACTGCCTGTGGCAAAGTGAAGGGTTTCGTTTAGGGTGGTCTGGAGATGGGGCCAGAGCCAGGGCTGGAGGTGAAGAGACAATGTGGGTCTGAGAGATTCATCCAGAAGATATGCTGGAGACAGGCACTCCTTTGCTGTAACCAGGACTGTGCCCTGCTTTGAGAGGATGTCCTGGTCTGTGGGTAGAGGTCCCAGGTGGGGCTGCTCAGGCCACTGAGGGCTGACACTGCACTAAATGCTCATTGTTTTTGGTTACTGAACCTCCCCGGGTGAGGAAGGTGGCTGCTGCTGGTCCCTACTGCTGTGTCAATTCTTCAGGGACAGGCTGATTCCCAAAGGGGCAGCACAGAAGCACTGCCATGCAGGGAAACTCCTGCTGCAGCTGCAGTGAGCTTGAAAAATCAGTGCTAAAGACTACTGTGTTTTTTAAAATAATTGTTTTCTGAAATGGATTTCTTTCAGACTGCTGTTGTACCAATATTCATTTGGAACGCTCAGGATTTCAATATAAAATTAATGGTGGGACTAGACTGGCTTCTTTTAAAGGATATAAAAGGAAGGTAATGATGCTTGTCTTACTGTACTAGTTTGGATGGGACAGTTAATTATCTTCCCAGCAGCCTGTATGGTGCTGTTTGGGATTTGTGACTGAGGCAGTGTTGATAAGACAGCAGTGTTTTGGCTAATGCTGAGCTGTGCTCGGTGAGGAACAGGGACAGGGCACAACCAGGACACCTGACCTGAACCAACCAGAGAGATATGCCATGCTGGATAAGGATTGTATCAGGTGCCCAGAGAAGCTGTGGCTGCCCCATCCCTGGAAGTGTCCAAGGCCAGGTTGGACGGGGCTTGGAGAAACCTGGGCTAGTGGAAGGTGTCCCTGCCCATGGCAGGGGGTGGAACAAGAGGGGCTTTAAGGTGCCTTCCAACCCAAACCAGTCTGGGATTCTGTGATATTGTGCTTAGCATTGGGAGCTAATGGAAAGTAGGAGGAAGAGGGGGATGTTCAGGTAAAACTCACTTTCACAGGGAACAACACGAAACCTTGCATCTAAAAATCTATAGTTCCATAGTGCTTCTTTGATACTAGAGAAAAACAGAGGCAGAATTACCTGCTGTGTATCCCTTCAGCTGCTTTCAGCTGTGCTAAGGAACATCTCCCAGAGCCTGACCTCGGCTAAGCCGCTCTTCTGTGTGAATGTTTGCTGTAAACAACGTCCTCGTTATCAGGGAAGTTAAAAGGAGGCGTGTTGGAGACTGAAGGGAACGAGCATTTGCCAAAAGATAAACACACAGCAGTAGCTGCTTCCCTTTCCCAGGCAGAGGGAAAAATCACCTCTGCATCAGGACATCAGCTACAGCAGCTGGTAGGTGGGAATGACCTGAGGCAGTGATATCCAGGGGCTGTGGGTGGCTCTTCCTGTAGCCTTTTGGAGGCTTGGTTGGTATGCTGTCCACAGCAACCCAGGGCATCTTGCAGAATTCCAAATCCTTAGTTAAATGCAGCTGCACTGCTGAAGCCTCAGCTCTACATAAGAACTTTTTTCTCATGTAAGAAAAAAAGAAGGGGAGGGGGGAAGGGAGAAAAGGTGGACCAAAAAAAGCAAAGATAGAAAGGATTGTGATAAGTGAATGGCTTATGAAAGAGGCTCAGGAAGAGGGAGACTAAGAAGAGATTATTTCATGGGAGGATTTGTATGCAGTACTTGGGGGAGAGAACAACCCCAAGGCTGGGAGGTTGAATGTGTTGGGTTTTTTCTTTTAATTTGGAGAAACAGGAGTTGCTGCAGCGCTTGGATGAGTGTTAGACACTGGACAATGCTGGGGGGGCCTTTGTGGGGCAGAAGATGACAGACAGGACATCTGATACTTGTGGGACATGTGTCTGTAGCTCAGTTCATTTTAAGTCTCTGTATCTCAGTCTCAGAACTGGAGGCTGAACCACACTCATGCTCTCTTACCATGGGAGGATGGACTGACCTTTCAGTGCAAAGAAATCCCCTGATACCAGTTGGTTCTTCCTTTTTTATGCTGTTTTGGTGGACAGTCTCATCCTTTCCGGTCTCTGCTTAAAGCAGGAACTCATGATTGCTCCCCCAGCAGCATGTGGGGTTGTGCCTCTCCCGTGCTCATGTCTGCTTACATTTTTTTCACTTGCATGAAAAAGCAGCCTAGGAAATTAAAAGCACTCGGTAGGCATTATGCTGCTGTTAATTATGGAGGAGCCCAGATGCCATTCACAACAGTAATAGGAAAACTACCCAGGCAAAGGCAGCAGAGTGAAATGCCAGATTAAGGTCTCAGCTCCTGAATGCAGCTGAATTTGCAAGTGGGTGCTGGACACTAAGTGTGGGGGTCTAGGCTTCCCTGAGTAGTCCCCAGGCTTTATCTGGTGTGTGCATCCTGGGGTTAGGGCTGTATTTGCAGATGGGATCATATGGGAGCCAGAAGCCTGGGGAATCATTAGGCTCTGTATTGAGATTTGGTGGCAAGGAGAAGGTGCATTGCTCCTCCTGCACCAGACCTGAGCAGAAGGGGGTGACACTGCTGTCACAGTGTGACTGGCATTGTAAACTGCACATCTTGTGGCTTTCAGTTGTTCCAGGCTCCTGGAGCTGCTCTTTGTGAGCCTTGGCAACAGGCTGCCAGCCTGGAGGGGAGTGCCAACAGACTGCTCCTGAATTCTGGCACTGAGACCAGAGAGTTAATGAGAGAGCAATCCCTGCATCACCTTTCCATCAGCCTTTTGGACCACATCATCTCCAGTTCATGCACTGTTTCCCTGTGACACCTGGGTTATCACCTTTACTTAAAGCCAAGCTTTAAATCCTAGGTGAGGTCTGTGTGTGCTTGTTGTTTCCTGTGGAGGATTATTTGGCTGATGGCCCTGTGGAAGTCACTTGTACAGCTCTCACTGCACCCTCATGGCACTGGGCAGTTTGTTTCTTTGCTCTGTTTTCATGTTGTGGCTGAGGTCCATAGCAGAGAGAATGGGCTGGACACAGTCCTGGGGTAACTTTTATCTTCATTAAAGCAGTGCCTGCTGGGATTTCTGAACATGAGGGCTCTGCAGGGGTATTTAAACCAGCCTTAGATTGGATAGGAGGAAGAAGGGATACTGGGAATGTAGGTTTGCTGTAGTGGCTTGACAGAAACCCCTGGTGTTTTTGTGTTTGGGATTGAGAAATTGCTTTCTTTGTTTGCCACAGGTAAAACCTGTAGTTTCCTGCTGATGACCTGGATTAGAGCTGTAACTTCAGCCAGCAATGCCAGGATCTCCTTTGAGTCCAGGTACTTTAGGTAACCATGAAAGTACCAAAAATTTCTGGCAGGTCCTAAGTTGCTTCTCATTCTTGTACAGGACAGACCTCCAGCCGTGATCAATCATCCAGGGTCTAGCTCTAGTCAGACATCCCAAAAGCCAACTGTGTTGGCCTTATATCCTAGTATAAGTGTATGTATCTGAATAGATAACTGCATGTTCATCTTTCTAAAAATAGTACAAAAAGATGCACTTGGATGGGGGAAACACCCCTCTTTCTATTTTAATAAGACTTGCTGCATCTTTTCCCATAAAGATTTTTCAAGAACTAGGAAAAGATTCCCACTGTTCTTCTAGGACTGAGTGCGCCACAGGACAAAAATAACTATCATTAATATTGCAAATGCATATTTTGCCAGAGGATGGCAGTGTGAAAGGGTTTTCATTGCTCTGGGAATGCCTTTGTCTCTGTTGGGGAAGGAAAGCACCATCTGCTTTCACAGGCGAGTCAGCACTTGCACCCCGACAGCTCCACCTTCAGCCAAATAGGAAAAATAAGGCTTGGGACTGGTGGGTTAAAGGGAATTAAGCTTAAGGACTACCAAACCAGTGACCTTCCCTGACAGTGCTGTCTTAAAAGGGAGAATAATCTATTGAAGAAATTATTCGTTAAAATATGAGTGTATGTGTGTGGTGAGAGTTAAGTGTGTGTAAAACACTTTGGGAACTGGAGCACTTAATATAAATAACACTATTCAAAGAGTCCAACTAGCAATCTGTGGTCCTCTTGTCCTAATTCATAAGGAAGTAATAGTGCCAAGTACGTGTTTTTTTCCTATTTGTGTTCCATCAGATTGTGTTGGTACAACCTTTAGAATGTTTATCAAAAGTATTCACTGCCAGCTTGCAGGGGAGGCATAATTGAAAGACCTGTTCAGTCTCCTCTTAATACCGAATGCAGTGTGTTTATTGTGTCTGATCCAGTGCTTACAAACAGTTCAAACAAACCCAGCCAGTTTTCTAGGAGCTGTCCTGCAGCCTGGTGTTGGAGCTCCACATGTTGGCCAGTACCTTGTCTCTTGCTCTCACACGGTGCCAGGGGGAATTTGGATGAACAGGCTGCTCCCAGGGCTGGCTTTGTGTCTGGCTGTCCCGTTTCTGTTGGCTTTGGAACAGCAAATACTACAAAGTGACTTCTGAGAGCATGAGATGTGTCCAAGGGCAGTGGTTGGTGACACCTGTGCAGACCCTCCAGAGGGATGTTTGGGGAGTGAACCGGTCTGCATGTCAGCAGGCAGCTGCTGCAGTCACCTGGGGGGTGCCTGTGGGGGTGAAACAGGGCCAAATCCTGCCTCCAGCTGAGTCCCAGCAGGACTGCTGTGGCTCTCCAAAGGGCAGGAGCATCAGGAAGGGGAGGCAGCGGGATACCAAAAGCTGCTATAGCAGGATTGTACAATAAAGTAAAGCTTTAGGGCCTTAATAGAAGTGCTTAACAGGGACTACCTTGTGCTGATAGCAAAGTGAAACCTCTTTCCTGTCCTTTGGAAGCCTGACTTCCCTGAAGGCTGATTCCACAGGTGTTGTGCCTGTGACCTGTGCCTGTGAAAATTCTGAGCAGTCGAAGCACTGAAGGCTGTTAAATACAGCTGCCAGTGTCCTGTGCAATCAGCCACTAAATGCCTTAAAACCATGGTCCTGGTGGTGTTTGGCATTTGAAACCTTTCCCTCTTTTCCTCAGGCCCATGAGGATGCAGCAGCAGAGCTGAGGGCAGGTAAAAGGGTCAATGGGAAGCCTCGCTCCAAATGAGGATCCATCCAGGGGTCCAGACAGGAGCAGCAGGGGCTGTAGGAAGGTTGCAGAAAGAGTCCAAGGGGTCACCTGAGAGATAGACCTGACCCCAGCCCTATCCCTCCTCTATCTCAGCCCAGGACTGGGTGCCCAGCATGGAGCTGGAAGGGGTCCTCTGGGCAGGACTGCAGGTAGAGGCCTCTGGGGAGGCTGCTCAGGGTGGCCGGGGGCTATTGGTGCCATGGGGGTCCTGCTGGTGAGCTGGGTTTTGTGGCTCTGCACTCCACCAGCCTCTTCCTTCCAGCTGCCTGTTCATTGATTTTCCCCTGTGCCGATGCTGCCTGGAATGTTTGCTCCCCAAGTCTGTAAGAACAGGAAGTGTTTTCATGGACAGGTATTGATCAGGCAATGAATCCCAGTTTCTGGCTTTGCACATTCGAGTGAATACATTTCAGTATCCCTTGAAAAAGCAGGGACAAATCCAACAGGCAGCCTCCTCTGTGGCTTCCACAGGTCAGCACCCCTTTGAGTGAAGCTGAGGATTTCTCTGAGCTTAGCTGTGTTTTGGCAGTCCTGAGGGCAAAGCTCCTGAGCTGCAGGTGCTGTTGAGTTGTTGATCTGCTGTGGCTGAGGAGAATTGTCGCAGAAATAAATCCAGGCTTACCAAAGGAATTGTGCTGTGTAATTTGGCATCTGTCAGCTGACTCCTGGGCCAAAGTCACTTCCCTGGCCCCTTTCTCATATTAATCCTTAGCTAGTCACTTCTCATAATTAGATCAAGCAGCCAGAATTAACAGATCAGAGCTGAGACCAAATTCCAACCTGACAATAGATCACAGAAGCCCCTTCTCACACACTGGCTGTGTATCTTCTGCCAAGCTTGTTATGCTGGGGACTTGTGACACTTCCCATGTGCTGCACTGCACAGCACCATGCCTGGAGATGACATACCTTAAAAGCAACAATAAGCTTTCTCAGAACTCAACTGGGCTTTGTGCTCATGAATAAAATATCCCCTGCCTTGGTTTATTTATGGGGCTTGTGTGCCGAGACATGAGTGGTAACAGAAAGTCAGGAAACTGTTCTGCAAAATAAAAACAGGGTTTATTTATATTGCTCTCAAATGGTTGGTGTCCACACTGGGCTGAAATCATGCCCTCCTTGTAGCAGGAAATATCTGTTGCATACAGGGCTGTGCCAGTGGTGGATGTAATCCTGTCACCTTCTGACAGGCTGACAGTTCAAGTCAGGCTTCAGAGCTTTCCAGTCCCATGGAAGGAACCAAAGTCATCGTGGTGGATGAGGGAAGACCATGGGAAAGGGACTGGTCACTGTGGTTAAGGCTGATGGTAGAGCAGGGACTTAGAGGGGCAACAAAAGGAAGGTGAAGGACTGGTGGAAGGTCTAGAGCCAGTCCTATGAGAGCAGCTCAGGGAGCTGGTGGGGCTCAGCCTGGAGAAAAGGAGGCTCAGGGGGGACCTTCTGGCTCTGCAAGTCCCTGACAGGAGGGGGGAGCTGGGGGGGGTGGTCGGGCTCTGCTCCCAGGGAACAAGGGACAGGAGGAGAGGGAACGGCCTCCAGCTGTGCCAGGGGAGGGTCAAATCTTGTGGTGCAGCAAGGCATTCTCATGCAGCTGTCACTTCTGGCCAACTGTAGAAACAAGAAGTTATTTTCTTGTAAGAAAATCTTATTCCACCTCAAATAACTGCAATGGGACCATATCTTATATGGATGGGGTCTGCTCAGCACTCAGCACGTGGCTTGGTGCCGTCCTTGATGCTCCACCATCTGCAGTTCCCAGCATCTAACAGGACATAAAATTATCTGTACTATTTTCTCCTCAGAATGTTAGCTGTAATAAGTAGTTTTTAAGTGATACCTTACAGTTCTAGCCCCTGACAGTTTATTTTAATGTTGAAGTAAACATCAGTAGAAGTGTCGCCACGGGAGAAATACCTTCCCTAGAGTACTTCCCTGCTGAAGTTGTATTATTGTTCAAACTTACAGAACTAAAGCACAGAAACAACCTGAATATGGGATTAACATCTAATACGCCACAAAAATGACAGTGAAATGAGCATATCAATACAGAAAGAATCTTTTGTTGATTTTTATCAAAATTTGAGAAAGCTTTTATGGAGTTGAATAATAACTTAAGAGTTCAAAGCAGCTCGAATAAAAATCCAAATTAGCTCACAGCACTTCCATCTGGATTCTCCTCTTACTTGTGGGACATCTAGTGGCAGAAAGGAGTCTGGATCTTCGAATACAAAATGGTATTTTAGAGCATGGTTCTTGTTTGAAAAAAACCCCCAACACTCAAACTCTTTGTCCTCTTCATGTTGGTTTGAGTTTGAAGGAATTGTGGGGGGTTTTTTAATACTGATATTTGAAAACAGTTTGGGCTCTCAGTTTCTGGGTAGTGTTACTCTGTTGAGAAACAGTGTCAAGAAAAGTTTTACCTGAGTAAGACTGTTCTCTGTTCCAGCTGACCTGGGTCTCTTTTACGACACCCAATTGCTCCTCCCAGAAGCTGTTTATACCTTTTATTTGCCCTGGATGGTGTTTCTCTCTTTGGTGTATCCTGCTGTTGTCCCGGAGTTTCTCGGAGCAGATGTGGGGCTCCTCAGCAGCTGGAGCAGACCTTAGCCTGGCTGCCAGCCAGGAATTCCCAACATGTGGCATACAGGTGAGTAGGGAAGTCGGGGGCAGGAAAACACGTTTTGTGCACTGGTCTTGCTACACCTGCAGGATACTTGGTGTGCTGTGCTGGGGATACTTTGCAGGAAGCAGCTCAGGCTTTTATCAGGTATTGACATGGGGTGGGACAGCCCCCTTTTCGCTTCTGTTTTGCCCTCTCCAGGCCAGGGAGGGGTGTAGCACAGCCCAAATAATGGACACCAGGTGTTTCCTAAAGGGCAGCAGCCCTGGGCTCTGTGTGGCAGTGAGCTTGCACAGCAAGCACTTTCCTGGGCATTTTTGTGCTGTTCCATTCCACTGGCTCTGCAAGAGTAACTGTGGAAATAGAATGTTCTTCTTTTTTCTCTTTACTTTTGTTCTTTAAACTTGTCTCTTTTCTTGGCAAAGCCCATGGAAATCTTCTTTGATGGAGCTGATGGGCTAATGTGAACTTCTGTAACAGCCGTGGATATTTTGCAGCAGGATCAGATTTGTAGAGAAAAATGCACCTGCCTTTAAATTTCTGCTTTAACGGTGTGGGGTTTATCACCTTTCTAGTACATGACCTGTTTGAGGGTTTTTTTGGGGTTTTTTGGTTTGGTTTTTTTTTTGTTGTTGTTGTTGTTTCCATTATATTCTGCAGCCTTAAGGGCACAGAATCCATTTAAAAAGCAAATTGATATTCCTCTGGCCCTAAGTTTTGGGGGTTTGTGTAGCAGGGCCCTAATGGAGAGATTAGCTGAAATGTCTGAGTTCTATCAGTAGATTTCTGCACTTCAGAGTCTGAAGAAGGTCAAGGCTCTGCCCTTTGCAACCAGCAGGTGCCAGGTAACACCCGGGCTCTTGGATGCTGGGTGACCTCTTCAGAGAGCATGGAAGACCTGGGAGCCCTGGGATGCTCTCTCGTGGCACTACCTCTGACTCCCTCTCACCCCCAGCAGAGTGGGGAACAAAACAGAAAAGACCCAAAGATTCCCTTTCTCTTTCTGAGCATGGTGCTATGTTGTGTGGGCTGTCCCTTTGGTCAGGTGTCCTGGTTCTGAGGTGACCCAGCCACTCCAGGTGGATGTGGTCCAAGGTCCACTACTATCACCAGTTGCTAAACTGTGCAGGAACAAGGTGGGAGGTTCTGGAGCTGTGCCAGGCAGGATGTCCACGTGTGAAGCCATCTCCAGCCTAATTCAGGGCTATTTGCCACCTAAGAGAAGCTGGAGCAACAATTAGGTCCATTCTTGTGACTCTTTCTATAAGAAGGGACTTGGAAAAAGCAATTGCAGGATGTGAGCAGGGGTTGTCTGAGGTGGAAGAGAGGGAACAGCACATGGAAAAGAAATGTGCCTGGAGGCAGCAGGCTTGTAGGAGCCAGGACTGCCTGGGGCTCAGTGGGTGACATCACCTCCTTAGGTGTCTTCCTTGTGCTTGCAGAGTTTGCTCCATGTCCAGCTTGGAAAGGACATCAGGAATAGCAGCTTTTTTTCATCCTGGTGGGAAAATGTTGGCTTGCAGCTTGTGTAATTGATGGTGATGGGAAGGGGAGGGTGTGACACTGGTTTTGCCTCAGGCCTGGTGCAGCACAGCTGTTCTGCTCCAAGCCTGGCTGTCTAGAGGTTGAGGTGTGAACTCCAAACTACTGTTGTGCACCCTACACTAGGAAAAAAACAGCTTTCTGCCTGCCTGAAGCCCATGGCTGCTTCTCCCCACTGAGATGGTGCACAATAAGTGGTGGCAGTGGGTGGGAGGCTCAGGTTCCACGTGTGATTCTGGGATGGATCACTTTTGGTAGTTGAAAGACCAAAAACTTGGATGAGTTGAAGAGGTGCTGTGCCCCTCTGAGCATGCTGCTGTTGTCCAGAGTGCTGATGGCCAGGAATGTCCACAGGTCGTGTTTGAAGATAACACAAACTGTGGTTGCGAAGCTTCATTTGGAAATGAGCTCCTAAATGTGTGTGAGCTGGGGCAAGTCTACATGAGAGGCAAAAACACTGGGTTTTGAGAGGGCAACCTGGAAATTCCTGTAGCTTATTCCATACCTGGGATCCAGGATATAAGCAAGGTCACTGGTTGTTGCATGACTCTGGCAACTGGTGAAGACAAAAGGAAAGGCTGAGGGAATTGGGATTGTTCAGCCTGGAGAAGAGAAACTTTGGTGTGACCAAATTGGCCCTTCCAGGACCTGAAGGGAGCCTGAAAGAATGAGAGAGAGGGACTATTTACAAGGGCCTGGAGTGACAGGAGAAGGGGGAATTGCTTCCCACTGCCAGAGGGAAGGTTTATGTTGGATATTGGGAAGGAATCCTTCCCTGGGAGGGTGGGGAGGCCCTGGCACAGGTTGCCCAGAGAAGCTGTGGCTGCCCCATCCCTGGAAGAGTTCAAGGCCAAGTTGGAGCAACCTGGGCTAGTGGAAGGTGTCCCTGCCCATGGCAGGGGGTGGGACAGGAGGAGATGATCTTTAAGGTGCCTTCCAACCCAAACCATCCTGTGATTTCCTGATCTCTGGTCAGAGCAATGCACACAGCAGCCTGCTGAACTCAAGGAACCTCTGGGCTGGAGAACAGCAGGATTTAGTGCAGTAGCACTGGTTTATCTGGGCTGTGACAGTGGGAATCTGCTCAGCCTTACAGGTTCTGATGAGGGGACAGGTCTGTAGAGCAGCTGATGGGCTCGGGGAGGGGAGGAGCTGGTCTCTCTGACTTTGGGAATCCAAACTGCTATGAAGAGAAATGCTGCCTCTCCCATTTCTTTTCTGTCTCTTCTCACAGAATCATTTAGGTTGGAAGATCTCTGAGATGAGTCTGTTTTCTGCATTCATGCTGATTGAGCAACATGAGTATGTGCACTTGCTCCTGGTTTTCCTCAATTACCCCTAAAATTGTGAAAATTGGACACCTGAGAAGGGGATTTCCCATGGTGGGCAGTGGGAGAGGCAGTGTGGTGAGTGAGGGATTTGGAGCTGACTGCTGGGAGTGGATCAGAGATGTATGGAGTGGATTTGGGCAACAAAAAAGGTCAGCAGAGCCCTTGCTGTGCTGAAAACTTGCTTTAGAGATGGATTTGATTTTCAGACACCAAGTGTTAAGCTGGTCCTTTCTCCATTTAACCTCACCTTCTATGTGATGGAAAATTACTGCCCTCATATTCTCTCTTTGTCCTGTTGCAATCCTAAATACTCAGAGAGATGTTTATCCATGCTGTTAATGTGTAGTAATGGGATTGCTATTTTAAAAATCGATACAAATCTCACACTAGAAGAGAAAGGCTTATGGATTAGTCTGTCAAGAGCTGTTTTAATAGATCTGTCTGAAATTTGAGACGCTTTCCCCAAAAGTGCTCTTGCAGTTTCAAATTGCTTCTTAAATGTTGCTGCCTGCAGATTCCAGGCCAAGCTGTCAGAGTGAAAACCTTTCTCTGCAGCTTCAGAGAAGCTGGAAATCATAAGTGTTTTCATTATTTTTTTTTTTCAATTGATGAAGAATGTGTTCTCCCCTAAATTAGGGAGCAGCAGTTTCAAACACATGCTTTACTTTTGTGGTTTCAGCCATCTGGTAGGAGGGAGAAGCTGGAGAGCTGGGGATGATGGGGAAGTTTAGAACAGATCTTTCTAATACTGCCACTTGCAGTGAGAAAAGCTGAATGGTGCTGACTTGCTTGAGACTACTTTTGAGATGCAAAAAATTATTAGCAGATGGGATGTGCATTTGTGATCTAGGTATTTGAAGCTGGCTTTAATATCCTTTTTATATTTTAACAATATTCCCCACCCTTCTCATTTCCTTCCACAGCTCGGAGTAGGATGTCTCTGGTGCTCCTCTGTCAGGATACTCACAGCCCTTCTAGTTCTGATTCCTAAGGGACTGTTAATTAGCAATAATTGCATTAATTCATCAAATTCAGGGCCATGTCTTTAGGGTGTGTGTTCTGGTGAGAGTCTGAGACCAAAACACGTTACCAGTGCCAATAACTTGAAAACTTGCAAGTCTTGGAAGAATTATTGCTGCTGTTGCTCTCTCCGTGACTTAACACTGCTCAGAGAAGTGCAAGAGTTTGGTTTAGGGGTGTGTTTGACTTTTCTCCATCTTAAGACCTGCAGGAGCTTCCACTTTGCAAAGGGGGGGAACAAGGAACTGGCACAATGACTTCACTCCCTGCAGAGCCCACAGCACCAGTGGGTAGATATTTAGCTCAGGCAAACTAAGGCCAAGCCTAAAGGCCTTAATGCTTGGTATTGCCGGGAGAGAAGTTAATCCCTGCAAACTTTTTGCCAACTTTATTTTTAATTTATAACATGTTTCTTTCTACCATTTTTCTGATGCTCCTCGTTCCCACTAGTCTCCCCCAGTAGCTGTTTTTTGGGACACGTACCATTTCTGCCTCCTGCTGACCTTGCTGGCAGTGGTGCCTGTGGTCTCTGGGCAGCCCATCACTTGGTGGCTCTGGTGAGGTTTGTCCCTTATCAGTGTCTCCACAGTGGTTTTGTCAGATCTGTGACTGTTGGGCTTTTTTTATGGTTTCCCCCTTTTTCCTTTGAGATCCCAACTGACAGGGTCCCCAGTCAACCTTCCTGGATTAAACATTCTCACCCTCTCACCTGCACTTCTGGTCCTGGGCCTTTGAGTGGTCTTCAACCTTGTGAATGAAGCGTCTTGGAAAAAGGATGAGTGGATGCTTTGTGCTGTTGATGTGCTGAGGATGTACTGGAAGAAAGGCAAGTGGGACCAGGCTTGGAGAAAGTACCAACCTTACAAGAAAAGTTTATTTTGGGCTCTAGAGCCATTTAGTGTCCACATCAGTGGTATCTGTTGGGGCAGGGGGAGCAGGAGGGGTGTGTCTGGTCCCCTCTTTGCTGCTGGTTGTGTCTGCAGGGAGAGACTCCAGCTTTGGTGCAAGTGCTGCTCTGTATCCTTGTGCTGGTTTAAGAGTTAACCAGCAGGGGAAATGAACTCAACTCAAAGGAGAGATTATAAGTCAGAATAACAATTTATTAAAATAATACAGTAAGTACAATCATACAAA